GTCGGCAGGAGTGTGTCTGCGGAGTGTGTTGCAGGAGTGTGTCTGCGGGTGTGTCTGCGGAGTGTGTTACAGGAGTGTGTCTGAGGAGTGTGTCGGCAGGAGTGTGTCGGCAGGAGTTGTCTGCAGGAGTGGTCTGCAGGGGTGGTCTGCAGGGTGTGTCTGCAGGATGTTTTTACAGGAGTGTGTCCGGGGGAGTGTGTCGGCAGGAGTGTGTTGAGGAGTGTGTCTGCAGGAGTGTGTCTGCAGGGTGTGTCTGAGGAGTGTGTCTGCAGGGTGTGTGTTTGCTCTCTCCCGAGTCGGGATATCATGTCTGATCCACGCTCCCAGGTATCTTCTACGTCCTTATATGTTTCCTCTGGATCCCTCTGTTCAACAGAGGTGACTTTCTTTTACTTCTCCACACTCAGCCTCCTTCAACGGCCTCTAGTCCTGTACCCACGGTTTAGGTGGGGGTCCATGCTGGGTTGCGCCCTATGCTACGGCACAATACTACATTTCGGGGAGCCTCAACACCCGCAACACGTAAACCAACACCTGCAAAAAGTCCTAGCACCTGTTAAAAACGTGTTGCAGGTGTTGGAGGCCCCCAAGAAGGCCTCCAACACTCGCAACACGTCCTCAGCAACCACAACACCGTCCTCCAACAACCTGCACCCACGTCCTCCAACACCTGCCAACACGTCCTCCAACACTGACCACGTCCTCAACCTGCAACACGTCCTCCCAACAACCCACAACACGTCTCCAACTCCTTCACAAGGACGTCCTCCTCACCTGCAACACGTCCTTAGCAACCTGCAACGCGTCCTCTGCACATGTTTCACATCCTCCAACGCCTGAAACACTTCCTCCAACACCTGTAACACTCTCCAACACTGCAACACGTCTTCGCACCTGCTACACGTCCTCCAACACCTGCCAACACGTCCTAAAGCCACCTGCAACACGTTCCTTCGGCACTGTTCACATCCTCAACACCTGAAAACACGTCCCCTCAGCACCTGTAACACGGCCTACAACAACTGCAACACGTTCTCGAACACCTCCAACAAAATCCCAGGAACATCTGACCTCTGACATGACCCGGCCGCTAAGAATTAAACTTTTATTAGCCTAGTATCCATTGTTAACCCGACTGATTTATGGTAACACTGTGGAGCGTGACCCAGTGGTGGTGGTGATGGTGATGGTACGGTGAGTGTGGTGATGGTGATGGTACGGTGGTGGTGATTGGTGATGGTGATGGTAATGGTGGTGGTGGTGGTGGTGGTGGTGGTGATGGTGGTCGTGATGGTAGTGGTGGTGGTGGTGGTGGTGGTGGTGGTGGTGGTGGTGGTGGTGGTGGTGGTGGTAATGGTGTGGTGGTGTTGTGGTGGTGATAGCGGTGGTGGTGATGGTTGTGATGGTGGTGGTGATGGTGGTAGTGGTCATGGTTGGCAGAGTTGGTGCTGAGCGCTTGCTCACCTGAATGGTCACACCTTCGCCTGTACATGGTGTTCACAGCAACCATCTGCACGAGATTAAGGTGTGAGAGATGTACACAGGTCACTCATTTGCTAGTTAGTTATGGAGTGAGACTGACAGGAGGACACCGTTCTAGAAACCACGAGGAAACTGCAGATAATCGGACACTACTGTTTAGTTGGATGCAGTAAAAAGGAGAGATGACGGGAGAGAGAGACAAAGGTACTCGCTTTCTGTCTAGTCTGGAGACAATAAGGAAGGGAGAGATGTCAGGAGAGAGAGAGAGACATGTACTTGCTTTCCGTCTAGTCTGGAAAACAGTGGAGGAGGAGAGATGAGAGAAGAAAGACAAAAATGGGTACTCACTTTCTGTCAAGATTGATGAACTTCATGTCGAGTGTGTGGATGGAGGTGAAGACGTTAGTGGCACCATTGAACGCACTTTCTCTGAGTCTCTGGCATAGCGATGGTGTACAGTGAGCAGGAAACACTGGATTCATTCCTCGAACACAAGGGTAAGTAAAGACAGTAATGTCCAGTAACAGCACCACCCTGTGTGTGGGAAGTGATTTAGTGATTATATGTTAGTGTTTCAGTACAGCACCGCCTGTGTGTGATACAGCACCAGCACCACCTGTGTGTGTTACTGCTACCAGCATCATCTGTTTTGTGTTACAGTCACCAGCCATCATGTGTGTGGTGTTACAGCCACCAAGCATCATCTGTGTGTGTTACAGCCTCCTGCACCGCCTGTTGTGTGTTAATGCCACCAGCACACCTGTGGGTGTTACAGCTACCAGACATCATCTGTTTGTGTTACAGTCACCAGCATCATGTGTGTGTGTTACAGCCACCAACATCATCTGTGTGTTACAGCCACCAGCACCACCTGTCGTGTGTTACAGCCCCAGCATCATCTGTTTGTGTTAAATTCACCAGCATCATTGTGTGTGGGTGTTACTGCACCAGCCTCGCTGTGGGGTACAAGCCACCAGCACCACCTGTGTGTGTTACAGCCTCCAGCATCATCTGTGTTGTTACAGCCTCATGCACCAACTGTGTGTGTTACAGCACAGCATCTCTGTGTGTTACAGCTCACAGCATCATCTGGTGTGTGTTACAGCCACCTGCACCACACCTGTGTGTGTTACAGCCACCAGCATCATCTGTGTGTTACAGCCACAAGCACCACCTGTGTGTGTTACAGCCACCAGCATCATCTGTGTGTTACAGCCACCAGCATCATCTGTGTGTGTTACAGCCACCAGCACCAACTGTGTGTGTTACAGCCACCTGCACACCTGCGTGTTACAGCCTTAGCACCACGGTGTGTTACAGCCACAGCACCCTGTGTGTTACAGCCACCAACATTCACATGTGTGTTACAGCCACCAGCACCACCTACGTGGTTACAGCCACCTGCACCAACTGTGTGTTCAGCCCACAGCACACCTTGTGTGTGTTACAGCCACCAGCGCCACGGTGTGTTACAGCCACATAAACACCTCCTGTGTGTGTTACAGCCACCAACAACCACTTGTGTGTGTTACAGCTACCAACACCACCTGTGTGTGTGTGTGTGTGTGTGTGTGTGTGTGTGTGTGTGTGTGTGTGTGTGTGTGTGTGTGTGTGTGTGTGTGTGTGTGTGGTCGTGTGTGTGTGAGTGTGTGTTACAGCTCCCAGCACACTGTGTGTGATAGAGCCACTAGCCACCACATCTTTGTTTTACAGCCACCAGCACCACCTGTGTGTTACAGCCACCAGCACCACCTGTGTGTGTTACAGCCACAGCACCACCTTGCGTGTTACAGCCACCAAGCACCACCTGTGTGTTGACAGCCACCAGCACCACCTGTGTGTTACAGCCACCAGCACCATCTGCGTGTTACACCCACCAGCACCACCTGTGTGGTGTTACAGCCCCCAGCACCACCTGTGTGTTACAGCCACCAACACCACCTGTGTGTGTTATAGCCACCAACACCACTTGTGTGTGTTACAGCCACCAGCACCACCTGTGTGTGTTAGAGCCCACTAGCACCACCTCTTGTTTTACAGCACAAGCACCCACCTGTGTGTTACTGCCACCAAGCACCACATGTGGGTGTTACAGCCCAGCACCACCTGCGTGTTTAGCCACCAGCACCACCTGTGTGTTACAGCCAACAGCACCACCTGTGTGTTGTTACAGCCACCAGCACCACCTATGTGTTTACAGCCAACAGGCATTATCTGTGTGTTGTTACAGGCCACCAACACCACCTGTGTGTATTACAGCCACCAGCACCACCTGGCGTTGTTAAGCCACCAGCACCACCGTGTGTATATTCAGCACCAGCACCACCTATGTGTGATACAGCCACCAGCATTATCTGTGTGTGTTACAGCCACCAACACCACCTGTGTGTATTACAGCCACCAGCACCACCTGCGTGTTACAGCCACCAGCACCACCTGCGTGTTACAGCCACCAGCACCACCTGTGTGTTACAGCCACCAGCACCACCTGTGTGTGTTACAGCCACCAGCACCACCTATGTGTGTTACAGCCACCAGCATTATCCTGCTTGTGTGTTACAGCACAACACCACTGTGCTGTATTACAGCCACCAGCACCCCCTGCGTGTTACAGCACCAGGCACCCACCTGTGTGTTACAGCACCAGCACCACCTGTGTGTGTTACAGCACCAGCACCCACCTATGTGTTGTTACAGCCACCAGCATTATCTGTGTGTTACAGCCACCAACACCACCTGTGTGTATTACAGCACCAGCACCACCTGCGTGCTTACAGCCACCAGCACACCTGTGTGTGTTACACAAGCCACCAGCCACCCTTTGGGTGTTACAGCCACCAGCATTATCTGTGTGTGTTACCAGCCACCACCACCACCTGTGTGTATTACAGCCACCAGCACCACATGCGTGTTACAGCACCTTGCACCACCTGTGTGTTACTGCCACCCTGTACCTCCTGTAGGGTTTACAGTACACTGAAACAAGACCGGCAACATCACTGCATTATACAATTGAGTTCTAGCAAAAATATCCAGAGTAGCTTCCAACATTGTGCTCAATATGACGACTGATTTGACAAAACCACAATGCTTTTGTGATTATATATCCATAAAATATTGCTATTCCCACTAGTGTGACCTTGTTATTCCATAGTTGTGATCTTGTTATTCCCACTACTGTGATCTTGCTGTTCCCACCTAATGTGATCTAGCTAATCCCACTAGTGTGATTCTTGCTGTTCCCACCTAGTGTGATTAGCTATTCCCACTACCGTGTGACCTTGTTATTCCCACTAGTGTGATCTTGCTATTCCCACTGGTGTGATCTAGCTATTTCCCACTAGTGTGACCTTGTTTTCCCACTAGTGTGATCTTGCTATTAACCTAGTGTGAGTCTTCTATAACCCCCTATTTAAACGAACGTTCAGGAGAATGTTTCTTACCTTCTGAACACCGAACCTCATTTTTTTGTCTTCTGGCGTTCTTGATTACGTTCATGCGAACAGGAAGAGTCATCTCTTCGTGGTGTTTGGGAAGTGTTGTGTCCAGCCCTCACCAGCTCTGCTTGTTTCTGCTTGCGTGATCGTTGTCTATAATGTCGTTACACGTGTCTCCGTGAATAACAAGTCCTCTGACAAAACACACAAGCACAGATTAATTATATGCTGAAACTATAGGCAGAGATTAGCTCTAGTCTGCTTGCTGTATATTAACACAACACACACACACAACACACACACACACACCCACACAACACCACACACACACACACACACACACACAACACACAATATATATATATATATATTTTTTTATATATATATATAATATATATATATATATATATATATTATATATATATAATATATATATATATTATATAATACACAGTGGAATTCCACAAAGGGCCTGTCAATAGTGCGCTAACTGTTCGGATATGGTTCAAACTAACGTCTACTTAGGGGTTGAATCGTAAGTTGCCTATGATTGCTGGTGCCTAGGAGAGAGTGCCTGAGTGCAAACCGAGGATCCCATGGGGGGTTTTTTTTTTGTTGTTTGGGAATATGCCCAGTAAGTACCCAGGTGCCTAAGAAGTTGTCAGGGGCGCTAGCTGGATTGGATTACATCTCTATTATATAACCATCCATTTCTAAATAAAACATTATATAAAACCCAAAACAAATACATAATCCTTTCACTATATTACTCACCATTCCATATATATATCTACAACCAAACCAACTCTATCCCCCTACCACCCCTCCCTTCTATACCTCTCACACTCTACCCTCCACCATTACCTCCACACTTCTCCCCACCTATCCATCCTCCTTCCCCCCACCCCTCACCCAATCATCTACCTTTCCCCATATCCTCTCTCTATCTCTCTCTCTTCTCCGCCCGCTCCATTACACATATACTCATCTCTCTCTCTCATTTACCAGTTCACAGTCATTCATATATCTTTATGATTCGATTTCTCAGTTCCCCTCCCCTACCACATGTCTCACTTGTACCCGCTCTCCCACCCAACCAGTCTCACCGACATAGAGTCTCCCCCCCTACCTACTCCCTAACCCCCCCCCCTCAGTGTTTGTTCCTTGCCCCCGTCACACCGCACTAAGTGTGTGTCTATCGACGTTTCATGCGAGCTCAGATGCTTGGTGGTTGTGACATTGCCGCATGCATGCACCGTATCAATGAGGGTAATGGTGTTGTCGGTGGCGTCAGTTTCCCGTGGGTTGAGCAACTGGTTTTTAGTGTATTGTGTCGAGTTTGCGAGGTGCGAGGGTCACTTTAGAACAGTTTTTTAATAGGAGTGTGTTGGTGTGGTGTGAGGTCAGAGTCCGAGCGACCGGACAGAGGGCAATGACCTCAGCAATAGCAAAATGTGTTAAACGATTTACGACTGTGTGGGTGAGTCTGTGCTCGCTCTCATAGATGATGCTAAGTCTGAACGATGCAGAACCGAGTATAGAAGAACGATAGAGAGCCTAGAGACGTGGAATGTGAGTGGATATGACCATTTTAAGTGTTCAATCTGGTCAGACACTGCAACACAAGTGGGTATGTATGGGTAGACCCTGGAATCTACTTCAGCCCCAATACGACACGTATCTAGCTCTTGACATGATTAAGTATCTTTCCCGATGCCACCCCCACCCCCCCCCACCTCTAACCCAAGCCATACACCCACTATTCCCACATAGCAGACAGCACGCTAGATGCACCGCCACCCCCACCCACGCACCCACCCCCCCCCCCCGTCCCCGTCCACCCCCCCCGCCCATCACCCGCGAGCTCGCCCACCCCCCGCAGCCCTCCCGCACGACGAGCACGCAGAGAGAGACCCGCCCCCCCAGCAGACGGAGATCCCCGAGGGAGAGACGGAAGAGCGAGGAGAGAGAGAGCGAGAGATAGTGAGAGAGTGAGATAGAGAGATTACCTACAACACTCTGGGTAAAAAATTGTGTGTGGTTGACAGCTTGATTCCATTAAATAGGCCTAAAAGTTTTCCCAGAATATCTTAATTGTATGTAGGCCTAAGATCACACACACACACACACACACACACACACACACACACACACACACACACACACACACACACACACCACACACACACACACACACACACACACCACACACACACACACACACACACACACACACCATTTAAATATAACTTTGGAAAGGAAGATGAAATAAAGCAAACAAGACAAACGAGACAACAAGACAAACGAGAGAAACAAGACAAACGAGACAACAAGACAACGATACAAACAAGACAAACGAGACAAACAAGACAAACGAGACATACAAGACAAACGAGACAAACAAGACAAACGAGACAAACAAGACAAACAAGACAAACAAGACAAACGAGACAAACAAGACAAACGAGACAAACAAGACAAACAAGACAAACAAGACAAACAAGACAAACAAGACAAACGAGACAAACGAGACAACCGAGACAAACGAGACAAACGAGACAAACAGACAAACAAGACAAACGAGACAAACGAGACAAACAAGACAAACCCAGACAAACGAGACAAACAAGACAAACGAGACAAGACAAACAAGACAAACAAGACAAACGAGACAGAAATTAAAATTAATGAAATAAAATATTACCTTTGCTGAAAGTAATAAAATATAACAATAATATTACATTAGTTACAATAATAAACAAAAGTATTTTATTGTGTGGAACGACAGTGAAAATAAAGATAATGGAACAGTGAAAATAAAGATAATGGAACAGTGAAAATAAAGATAATGGAACAGTGAAAATAAAGATAATGGAACAGTGAAAATAAAGATAATGGAACAGTGAAAATAAAGATAATGGAACAGTGAAAATAAAGATAATGGAACAGTGAAAATAAAGATAATGGAACAGTGAAAATAAAGATAATGGAACAGTGAAAATAAAGATAATGGAACAGTGAAAATAAAGATAATGGAACAGTGAAAATAAAGATAATGGAACAGTGAAAATAAAGATAATGGAACAGTGAAAATAAAGATAATGGAACAGTGAAAATAAAGATAATGGAACAGTTAAAATAAAGATAATGGAACAGTGAAAATAAAGATAATGGAACAGTGAAAATAAAGATAATGGAACAGTGAAAATAAAGATAATGGAACAGTGAAAATAAAGATAATGGAACAGTGAAAATAAAGATAATGGAACAGTGAAAATAAAGATAATGGAACAGTGAAAATAAAGATAATGGAACAGTGAAAATAAAGATAATGGAACAGTGAAAATAAAGATAACGGAACATTGAAAATAAAGATAATGGAACAGTGAAAATAAAGATAAGGGAAGAGTGAAAATAAAGATAATGGAACAGTGAAAATAAAGATAATGGAACAGTGAAAATAAAGATAATGGAACATTGAAAATAAAGATAATGGAAGAACAAAAATAAAGATAATGGAGGAGCAAAAATAAAGATAATGGAAGAGCAAAAATAAAGATAATGGAAGAGCAAAAATAAAGATAATGGAAGAGCAAAAATAAAGATAACGGAACAGCAAAAATAAAGATAATGGAAGAGCAAAAATAAAGATAATGGAAGAGCAAAAATAAAGATAATGGAAGAGCAAAAATAAAGATAATGGAAGAGCAAAAATAAAGATAATGGAACAGTGAAAATAAAGATAATGGAAGAGCGAAAATAAAGATAATGGAACAGTGAAAATAAAGATAATGGAACAGTGAAAATAAAGATAATGGAAGAGCAAAAATAAAGATAATGGAGGAGCAAAAATAAAGATAATGGAAGAGCAAAAATAAAGATAATGGAACAGCGAAAATAAAGATAATGGAAGAGCAAAAATAAAGATAATGGAAGAGCAAAAATAAAGATAATGGAGGAGCAAAAATAAAGATAATGGAAGAGCAAAAATAAAGATAATGGAAGAGCAAAAATAAAGATAATGGAACAGCGAAAATAAAGATAATGGAAGAGCAAAAATAAAGATAATGGAAGAGCAAAAATAAAGATAATGGAACAGTGAAAATAAAGATAATGGAACAGCAAAATAAAGATAATGGAACAGTGAAAATAAATATAATGGAACAGCAAAATAAAGATAATGGAACAGTGAAAATAAAGATAATGGAAGAGCGAAAATAAAGATAACGGAAGAGCGAAAGCTGCCTTAAGGGTCACTTTTGTCAGAAATAAAAAAATAGGTAAAATAATCACTTTGAATCAATAAAGAGAGAGTTGCTTTACTGCTGGATCGTCAGCGCGCCAGACATGACCCTTGTCGTACCTCTTCTTAAAGCTGTGTATGGGTCCTCGCCTCTTACTACCTCGCTCTCCATTTCTTCTTCCACTTCCTGGCAAACTTCAAGGCTGAAGAAGGACTTCCTAACATGACTATAACCAAGCTGAGTTTTCCACTTCCTCTCATGTCCTCTTGTTCCGGGTCTTGTTAAAGTGACGTTAATATTGTGAAGGTGAAGCCAGGCAAGGCTGGTGATGTTTGTGTTGCTGGAAGCTTGCTGGAAGCTTGCTGGAAGGTGTTGTGGAAGGTTGCTGGAAGGTGTTGTGGAAGGTTGCTGGAAGGTGTTGTGGAAGCTTGCTGGAAGGTGTTGTGGAAAGTTGCTGGAAGGTGTTGTGGAAGGTTGCTGGAAGGTGTTGTGGAAGCTTGCTGGAAGGTGTTGTGGAAGCTTGCTGGAACGTGTTGTGGAAGCTTGCTGGAACGTGTTGTGGAAGCTTGCTGGAACGTGTTGTGGAAGCTTGCTGGAAGGTGTTGTGGAAGGCTGCTGGAAGGTTGCTGGAAGGTGTTGTGGAAGGTTGCTGGAAGGTGTTGTGGAAGGTTGCTGGAAGGTGTTGTGGAAGCTTGCTGGAACGTGTTGTGGAAGCTTGCTGGAAGGTGTTGTGGAAGCTTGCTGGAACGTGTTGTGGAAGCTTGCTGGAAGGTGTTGTGGAAGCTTGCTGGAAGGTTGCTGGAAGGTGTTTGTGGAAGGTTGCTGGAAGGTGTTGTG